CTTGATCTGCAAAGAGGACAGGTACTTCTGCTTTTTTCCAGGTCCTGGGCACAATATTTTGATGTATAAGCAAAGACAAAGAAAAGATAAAATGTTGACTGCCATTGATGAAAAAGTATTTCAACAGTTTAAACAAAACAATAGTAAATGGTTTTTTTTTTTTTTAAAAGATGTCCTAAGAAGACCAAGGCACAATAAGTTAACATGTTTTCCATAATACATGCCGAATTATTTGATCCCATATCTATACAAGGTTTCTGTCTTAATTCTTAAATGTTGTGACAGCATGTGTAAAAACTGAGGTACGTTAGTTAACATCTTTTTATAGGTATTCCAAGAGGACTAATTTTTCTCTTCCAGTTTTCCATCTTCACCTCCTCCAAAGAATATCAAAGGGAATATTCCTAGAATGCAGCCGATGGACACTCCAACAGCTTTGCCATTAGGTTGTAAGACTCCATCTTGCCAGCAGACTCATTTTCTCTGGAGCCCTTACTGGCTCTGAAGAAGGTGCTTGGTTCTGAAAGGCCAAATGTGTACTAACACGTGTCTGCCCATGTCAACTTGCTTTGGTGTAATGAGGAATTGATCATCCTAACCTGGAAGCCAAAGCTTCAACATAACCTGTGAGTCCAAGTCCAGCTGAATCTGACACAAGATTTCCCAAAGCAGCGGCTGCCATCGTTGAAATTTCCCAAATAATTTCAACAGAACAACTCAATCTGGGCTCCTGCCACAATCATAATTGCATTATCCAAAAAGCCAAATCCTACGAAAAGTGTAGCATTGTGGAAGAATACATATCTCAGCTGTCCTGGGGAGGGTGGTTGAGCTTCCGATTTTTCTTGGGTGATGGTGAAGAGGTACAGCTCCTAGAGCAGGCAGCTGGCCTCGGTGGAGTGCAGGCTGTAGATAAAGCAGCACGCGCCTGGTGCAGTGTTCAGCATCTCCATGGGCTCCTTCTTGGGGTGTGTGCCCAGCCGCTGGGGCCCTTACCAGGACGGAGGGCGGAGCTTGGAGAAGTGGAGGCTGTGCTGGCTGGCCAGGATAGAGAACTTTACAGGGGAGGAGTCTGGGTTAGGGCATCATTTTTAACTCATAGAGCAAAACAACAGCCACAGTGGATATTGCAAGCAGGGATTGTTTTGATACAGAGAACTGTCACCTACACAATAGTCATTAAATAAGGGGTGCAGTTGTGGTTTTATGATTCTCTCCTTGCAGCCACAGTTTATTTGTCATTGAAGGTATAGACTCCTAACTCTGTGGTCCTCAGTTAAGTCTGGAAGCCCAGAGCTGAGGCCCTGGGACACTTAGCTCTCTATTGCACTTGACTGGTGATTTTCCAGTCCTCACCTCTGTCCAAGCATCTGTCTAAAGGCTCTGTGTATATTTAATCCTTCACTTCTGAATTCCAAATCTCACAAAAGTGTTCCTAAATGACCAGTTGTTCAAGAAACATAGGAGAGTAATGTTCTGAGTAATGTGCTTCCAGGTGAGCTGGTGATGATGAAGAAATGCTGAGATGCAGCCCAGTGTGGTTACTATTGCCTGAACTCTCAGAGGTGTGCTGGAGAGGTGATGGACAAGTCATACACATGGACCTTCATTCAAATATCAGCATGTCTGGGATTTAGCAAAGATGTCAATAAATCACACAGTGAAAAAAAAGGGGAGGGAGTTTAAAAAGCACAGCAGTCTTTTAACACTCAATGAGTAACTTTTAAAAATAAATAAATACAACATTTATCTTTCTTTGCCTTAATATGGAGATGTCTTGCTGCTCAATGTTTACCAGAAGCTATTGGCATCATCTATGCTGCAGATCACTGTTACAAGGTCAAAATAGCTGTGTTTGTTTAACCTCAGATGATGAGGATTTCCAGTTTAACAAGATAGCAGGTTTCTTGTATAAAGTCAGGAAATTCTTTTTAAAAATGAGTAGTGAAGCCAAGGTGATGATAATATTCATAATTTAAGAATTTCACGTTTGGAGTTATGTTATACACAGAAATTCTATTCTCATACAGAACTTTGTCACAAAACAGCTCATGAACACAAGTTAGATATAACCAAAATTATGGTCATTTTCACAACTTGGACCATTTAGTCGCCTCACTTACACATCCTTGGTGTAGTAAAAAGGAACAAATATGAAGCAAACTACATCCTCCCCTTTTTAACCACCCTCTGTGTGAGCTGATCCCAAACTCTCACATATGCAGATCGACAAGATAAAGTATTTTCCCACCTAAGAAAAACTCAGGTGCTAGCAGTCCTGATCATAAAATACCCTATGTGCCTTGTAAAATTGGCACCAAATAATAACTACCTGGAAATATTTGAGACATCAGAGGAGAGAGAACTACTCAGCAGGAAAAGGCCTTCTTTCTCCTTCTATCAGTGCCTTAATTGGTGCTCTAACAAACCACAGAGCTCTCACTGCCTTGAAGCAGTGAAAATTGTTTTACCTCAATGTTCTGGACATTTGAATTTTCACTGAACTAAAATTCAGAAGTCAGGAGGGCTATTTTCCTTCTGGAGTCTCCAAAGAATCCAATTTCCCCACTTCCAGAATACTACCACATTCCACATTCCATGGACACATCCCATGGTCACTCTGATATCCCTTTCCACTGTAATGCCTTCTCTGGTTGTGATTCTTTCCTTCACTATTACATGGACCCTTGAATTTACATTTGTCTGATCAGGTTAATTTCTTCCACTCTCAAAAATCCTGAGAGTAGCAACACTGACACCTACCTTCATTCTGATAAATGTGTATTTTTCATTTAGAGGAATGAAGGTAGGTTCCTATGTCTCCTGTGCAAATATCTACTCAAAATTGAAGACTTAAATGTAAGACCTGATACATAAAACTCCTAGAAGAAAACATAAAGGAAACTGATACAGGCAATGATTTTCTGAATAGGACCTTGATAACTCTGGAAACAAAAGCAAGACTAGACAAATGGGATTATATAAAATTGTGTTGTTTCTTCACAGCAAAGGAAACAATGGGCAGAGTGAAGACATAACCTACAGAATGGGTGAAGACCTTTCCCAGCTACTCATCTGAAGATTAATATCTGGAATATAGAAGGAACTCAAGAAATGTAAAAAAAAGCAAGTAATCCATTAACAAAGGACAAATGATCTCAAGTGAAGAAGTAGAAGTGTTAGTACAATGTGTGAAAAAATGTTTATGTTTTTCCATCAGAAAAATGGAAATTTATGAACATTGAAATTTCACTTCAAATCAGTCAGAATGGCTATTATCAAAAACTAAACAAAAACCAAAATAAAACAAAAGGGCTGTTGAGGAAATATAGTAAAAGCAACCTCTATGGAATGTTTTGTAGATGTAAATTAGTAAAGCTGTTATGGAAAACACTATGTGGGATCCGCAACAAACTAAATATATAGCTATTATAAGATCCAGGTTAAAAATAAAAAAGATCCAGCTATACCACTTCTGAGTGTATACCCAGAGAAAATGAAGAAAGTAAGCAACATAGATACCTACATTTTTATATTTATTGTGGCAGTATTCACCCAGTCACTGCTCAGGAGTCAAAAAGTACATGGCAGAGGGATGCACCCAGGAGCTGCCCCTCACCCAAGGTGTGCTAGGCTGGCCTCTCCCTGGGGCCTCCATCCTCACCTGCTCTCTAGAAGCTGCAGATTGCAGAAGAGCTGCACCTGAGTCCTCAGGGACATGCTGGCAGGGGTTGTACCTCAGGGAAACTTCCTAGCTGACATGCTCTTGGGATGCTTTGTGGAAAGAATTGAGCTTAGAGGGCCTGGACTAATGCAGAGGTCATGCCTAACCTAATCAGGCTCTTATAATTGGAGGATGAAACAGATTTTTGTTGTGTTTATCAGGTCTGCCACCACTTGTCAGTCTTTCATGCTGATGAAGTTTTAGGGATATTATCAGATAATATCCCTAAACAAACAAATAATAATGTGAGTTCTTTTAATCCCTAGGTACAGCAGTGACCTGTAGTTTTGCATAATGTTGGGTTTCTGAGGGAAACACTCACTGAAGGAACACCTCATTATCCCTACATATGTGAAGTAGATTAGTTCACACTACACATAGAATAGCAACAGCCTAAGGCCATTACAAAATGATGTTGAATAAATCTAAGGTGGATCTGAGAAGGGCTCTATTCATTTCTAGAAAATAAAATAATTTGGTAGCCACAGAAATGTCTTAAATAGAGCATGAAATATTTTCCTGCCTCTAACAGAAACATTTGCTGTAAGTTGAAGACTTAATTCTAATAATCTATTTTGTGTTGTTTCCAAACAAGGGTATTCTACATAGTCTTACTATATCTATGAAATTATTTATCTATCTAAGCCTAGATTCATTTTATATGCTGACAATTTTCCCCACATATTCTCTGTAAGAAAATGTCCTCAGAAGAAACACATTTTTCATAGGCAAATCTGTGGTCTCCTGGTGTGACCTGGGACACCTGGGGACACTGGGCCTGTGCTGAGTTACTGAGATGAGACTGCTCTACATCTGTGCCTGTCCTGCCCAGCTCCTACTGATTTGCATGTCCCCAGACACAGACTTTTAATAGGCTGCTCTCACCCTGTGGAGGGGTCAGTCTCAGTCTGGACATAGCATGGACATGAGGGCCCCCGCTCACCTCCTGGGGCTCCTGCTGCTCTGGCTCCCAGGTAAAGTAAGACAGCTCTGTATTACACATTCAAGTGTGGTTGGTGCTGACTCTTCAGGGTAATCTTCTAACCTGATCAATCTGACAGATTTTTGGTTTTGTGTTTCTGATATCAGGTTCCAGATGTGACATCCAGATGACCCAGTCTCCATCCTCTCATTCTGCATCTATAGGAGACCCTGTCACCATCAATTGCAAGGCCAGTCAGAACATAGGTAGTATTTTAGCCTGGTATCAACAGTCACCAGGCAAAGCACCTAAACTCCTGATCTATGGTGCAAGCAATTTGGAATCCGGGGTCCCACCGAGGTTCAGTGGAAGTAGATCTGGGACAGACTTTACTCTCACCATCAGCAGCCTGCAGCTTGAAGATGTTGCCACTTATTACTGTCTACAGGGTTATAGTACCCCTCCCACAGTGATACACACCATGACATAAACCATCCAAGAAGCAGAAGTGTGAGGCTAGGCTGCACCAGCTGCTCCTTCGGATGCCTTCAACTACTGAGACTCTTTCTGAAATGAACTCATTCTTTGAAGGACACTGGGTACCATAACTTTCTTGTTGCTCAGCTCCCATTGCATAGACATTACGATATGCTCCTGATTCATTAAAGGGGTTTTCTTACAGGTAAACACAAGTTACAGTGGAATTTCCAAGTATAATTTGTTTTAATAGAGGGAACTGGTGTCTACACACTCATCCTTAACTGGCTAAGGGGTCTGGAAGTCATAAAACTTGTTCTACAAATAGGAAATTCTGTGGTCTTTCCCCAAAGGATTGAGCACATCTGTTACTGAAAGTACCAGCCCCTAACCCTGTGGTCCTCAGATTGTCTGGGAAACCTAGGTTTGGGTACTCATGCTCACGGCAGCCTGAAACCCTTAATCAGGTGATTCTCCAGCCACCACCTTTCTCCAAGCATCTGCTTGTGGCTGCTGGTGACTTCTGAATCATCGTTTTCTGATTTCTACAATCATGGGAGGACTCTCATTTGAGCAGTTCTGGATCATGGGGGCCCTGTTAGGAATTACAGTAATACCTTGATTCCTGAACTATTCTGTTTGTAAAGATTTTGGTTTGCAAACAAAAAGATTTAGCAATAAGTTGCTTCCCTTTTCAAACTCCTCATCAGTTGACAAACACAATGGTCATATTCCCTACATACATACAAAAGACGTCCATCTTCCTCAAAATAGTAAAAAACAAATTAAGTTCATAAACTGAGGCACCACCATTCACAGGAAACCATTTAAGGAAAAAGGGATTCTGAGAAATAAGGCTCCCCAACTTTTCATCAGTTTTTAAGGAAACTGGCCCAGTATGTCCACTATCACTCAAACTCTCAGATTTGTCCTAGACAGAGGATGGACTGCAATATGCTTTCAATTGTTATCAGCAAGTCTAATATCATAGCTAAAAACTTCATGGAGACATATTATAAACATAAAGTGGGAAGTAACAGAAATGGTTCAACACTACTCTTTTAATGATCAAATAAATAAACTTAGTCTAAATTCATAATTGCAGGTGACAATTTCCTTTTTCTTAATAGGTCAAGGCCTGCTTTTCAAAATCAGTCCAGGATCCAGCAGTGTCATTTACACTGCAGTTTAAATTGCAAGACTGCAGTCTGTAGTTGACACCTACTGATCAGGGCCTGCATTGAAACAGGCTCTGTGCATTGTTAGAAAGCTCTGTTTATTTTTATTTTTAATTAATTTTATTGGTACATTTTAGGTATACAATATAATGACATTCATCATTGAAAATTTGCATTTACATAATCTCTCTTGGTTCTTACTTTTTCCCCCCTCCCCTCCATCCCTCCCTGTTTACAAAGACGTTGTTTCCATTTTTTCATTTTCTCATATTAATTGCAATCCCTTCTTTCCTTTCCCCTACCCCTCCCACTTCCCCTTCCCCTTGTCACCTTTTCTTCCTATTTCACATTATTTATTACACCTTTTAGTCCTTATCTACACTTTTAGTTTTACTGCAGTGCAGGCGCTATGTAGAAATGGACTAATTGTTACACACAAGCCTTACCACTAAGCTGACCTGGGATCTGTGTTCAAGGTTGTGACCCTCTGAGTTCAAAGAGGACTTTACTGAGAGCAGTAAGACAGAACATTACCAGCTTCCTCATGATTGGTAATTGTTGAAGACAGTGTAAGAACATCTGACTCACTGCCCATGAATCAGATTGGGACCACTGAGCCGGAACTAGGTTGACAGGAATCCTGATACCAGACACGCTGTTGTTTCCATTGTAAGTTGTCACTGGGCCTTTGTTGCCTTTAGAGTTGATGGCAACATTACCGCTTTAAAGATCCCATCAAGTCTTCTGTTTATGGAATAAAGATAACATCTTGCAGAAAATAAAATATATGAGAGAAAGGATATGATAATACATTGATTAAGCACTTGCTTATACCTAACAAACAGGTCAATTTTTGTGAACTACAGTATTTAAAAAATTCCTTAATGAGTGATATATGTAATTATTTATCCATAATTATAAGATAGTTTACTAGGCTTTTCCCCCAGTACCTATCTTCTATTTTTAACTTTAGTAAATATTTCTAAGTTGAAATCATTTAATTAATTTCATGAACTATGGAGAAGTTAATATTAATTATATAACAATGACGACAGACTTATGGATGCCATATTTTGTGTAGGAGAATATGGGCTTCCTCAGCTATTGCCTCTAGGGAAAAGAAACCAATGAATTAACTGGAAGGCAAGGCAAGGACTAAATTTTCCCCACTCTGAAGATGCTGTGAAATGATTGTGTGGCCTCTGACAACTTTAGTGGGACTCAGCATTGATTCTGGACTGAGAAAATAGACTGACACACATTATCTTCACTGAGGCCAGTTCATTGGTTAAGTGTAGGATCTCAGCCTTAATCTATGTTTCATGCTCACACTTTTCATCCTTTCCAGCTTCTAGTGACATGTAAAATTTTACTTAAAGATTATTAATTGGTGGGGTCAACTGAACTCCATCTGAATGAAGCTACACCAGTTCACTCTTTCATAAAGTTACTACTTTGCCTATATGAAAATCATAACAAGCTAAAATGTGTTATGTTTGAGATTATATGAAATTTAAATCTAAGTGATCAGGCACATTCCTAAGATAATGTGTGTCCTCTTAGTAGGGCAGCCACAGCACACTCACCAACATGGCATCTCAGACAGATCAGGAGGCAATGAAACAAGTATAAAATCCTTCAGAAAATACTTGTGTTACACATGGAAAGTTTTTGTTAACCTCAACTCCCTTTGAGTGAAAGGAGCACATGTTCTTGAGTACCAACCCAAGTTTTCCTGTGCTGATTTGCATGCAGACTCATTCCACATTGGTCTGGGCTTCTCCAACCACCCATTAAAGGTAGTTGACAGAAACTGTGTGAAGCAGTTTCTAATCCAGCCTGCAAGATGTGGTCAGAGGCTCTGCTGCTGTGGATGCTGCTGCTCCAGGCTCCAGGTGAGGGTGCAGGGAAGCACTCAGCATACTCATTCCAGCTATCTCTGCTCTCCATGTTTCCGATTGCGTGTTCACTGGAATTAAGGCATTTGTTGTAGGTTTTAAAATCTCCCAGTTTCTTTTTTTTCTATGATACCCTGACTGTGCTTACAGGTGGCACCAATGCAATAGCCCTATGTTTGGATAGTCTCAGTGCACTGGTGACCTTTGTTTATGTGTTTGTTTTCTTTCTAGGCTCTACTGGAGACATTGTCCTGACACAATCTCCAGTCTCCTTGGCTGTGCTTGCAGGGGAGAGGGTCACCATCTCCTGCACAGCCTCTGAGGGCATCAGTATTATGGGCATTAAGAGTGTTATGCAGTGCTATCAACAGAAACCAGGACAGGCTCCCAAACTCCTCATCTCCAGAGCATCCTATCTTGAGTCTGGATTCCTAGACCTGTTTAGTGGCAGTCAGTCTGAGACAGACTTCACCCTCACCATTCACCTTGTGGAGGCTGAGGATGCCACAGACTCTTACTATCACCAGGGTAAGGCGCTGCCTCCCACGTTGCTCTAGGTCTAAACAAAAGCCTCAAATGTGTGGCTGCTCAATGAGGTGAAATATCTCCCATGAATCACTTCACACATGCATCTTTTTTTTGTATATCCTTTTATTGGTACATTTTAGATATACAATATAATGACATTCATTACTAGAGATATGCACCTTTACATACTATCTTGGTTCTTAATTTTTCCCCTTCCCCTGATCTCCCTTCAACCCCTCCATCCCTCCCTGTTTACAAAGACTTTGTTTCCTTTTTTTCATTTTCTCATATTAATTCCATTCCCTTCTTTCCTTTCCCCTATCCCTCCCACTTCCC